TAGATTGAGTGTGAAAAAAAGAGAAGGTTAAAGAGTGACACAATTTTGGGGGCAATAGAGTTACTATTAATGCTACTGGGGAAATAGTGGGAGGGATTCGGTGGTAGTTGGAGATAGCAAGTTGTTCCTGCTAAGTTTGAGATGTCTAATTAGATTTCTATGTAAAATATTAAGTAATTTTAAAAAGTTGAATTATAGTCTGGAGTTTAAAGGAAAGCTCCTGGTTTGTGATATTATTTGATAGTCATCTGAGTATGTAGATTGTACTGATAGATGATAATTTTTTGAGTCTGAAACTTATGGGAATAATTTCATATATCTCATGATGTGACCCTGATGATGTGTTATTTCAGGCTTTGTGACAATATCAATAAGATAAAATGTGTATTAAGAAGATATCAGAACACACATAAAAATGTTCTGTGATTTCAAGTGGTATGCTGAAAAAGATTTATAATAACAAGATGAATGTTATCTAATACCTGTCCTAGGCCAGGTACTTAAATACAGATATTTCGGTCCCTATTTTATCCTGAGAAATCCAAACTTCCATGAAATTAGGAAGATGAGAGACTGACCTGTTGCTGGAACCCAGGTGTGTTGGATCCCAAAGTTTCTGCTCTTCTTACTCTGCACCACACAAATCAAGAGGGTATGTGCGGTTGATTTGGAACAGCAATCAAGTCCCTGAAATGCAATATGGTATAAGCATATTGGTCTAGACTTACAAGACCTGAATTTGTATCCTTAGATTTGTGTTTCCAGCGGAATGATTTGTCAAGTCTTTTAACTCCTCTGCTCATTAGTTTTTTTCATCTATAAAAGTTACAATTAAGTTTATCTCACAGGCTTGGTATATGAAATCTATGCCAAATGTGAAATGTGAAAGACTTTGTAAACTCCAAACCAGTCTGTGTGCATGTGTGTGTGTGTGTGTGTGTGTGTAGTTAATACTGGGGAACAATGTGATTTACAATAGCATCAAGAATAAAATACTTAGAAATAAACTTAACAAGAGATTTAAGACATATACACTAAAAACTACAAAACTTTGTTGAAATAAATGTCAAGACTTACATGGTTGGTGGAAGAAGTAAATTTGTTTTTAAAATTTATTCATGCTTTAATCCTTTCCATATTGTTTAACCTGGGTTTTTTATTTTCTTTTGTTTTTTGTGCATGGCAGCGATAGGCTTAAATGTTGTCTAATCAGTACTTAGTCTAACATTTTTTTAATGCTTAAATCTTTTTAAATTTTATTTTATATATATTTTACATCATCCTTGTACAACGTATGCTTTCTCGTCTCAGGTGTAGTCCCCATGAATTCCCACCACCAATTCATCTGTGTCCCATCACCAAAGATAAACTCATGCTATTCACAGCAACATGGGTGGAGCAGGAAGGGATTATGCTTAGTGAAATAAGCCAAAAAGATAAAAGAAAAATATTGGATGGTTTCACTTACAGGAGGAATGTAGAGGAAACAAATAAGGGATTGGGAGGAGGGGCAGGGAACAGTAATTACAATAAAAACTCAAAATCAACAGGCAACTATAAATCAGAGACATTCTGCGGGGGGAAGGAGGGAGTGGATCAAAATGGGTGGGAAGAAGTTAATTTTTTTATTGAGGCAACATTGGTTTTTAACACTGTATCTGACTTATAAGTGTAGAATCACATCCTTCATGTGTGTGTTGTCACACCACAGCCACCATGAAGGCACCCATAATCCTCCACTATGGTCCATTGTGCCCCCTCTCCACCCTGTTCTCCACCTTCCCCCTTCCCTCTCAGCCTCAGTTCTGCAGATTTTGAAAAACTCTCTATACTGTTTTTGATAGGGACTGGACCAGTGTACAGTTCCCACCAGAAATGTATGAGGTTCCTTTCTCTCCATATCCTTGCCACACTGGTTGTTTCTGCTCTTTTGATATGGGCCATTATCATGGATGTGATATGATTTCTCATTGTGGTTTTGATTTGCATCTCCCTGATGATAAATGATGATAAGCATTTTTTTCATGTCTTTAGAGAAGTGCCCATTGAGCTCTATTACCTATTTTTTGATTGTGTTCTTTGTTTTCTATTTGTTGAGCTGTATGAGTTTTTTTGTAGATCTAGGCTGTCAGCCCCTTGTCAGATACATGCTATGCAGATATTTTCTCCCATTCATTGAGTGTCTTTTTGTTTTATTGGTAGTTTCTTTCACTATACAGAAACTTTTCAGTTTGATATAGTCTGAATTGTTTATATTCTCTTTTCTCTTGCTCTTGGAGATGAATTCACAAGATCATAACTGAAACTTATATCAGAGAGTGTTTTGCTGACATTTTCACTAGTGAAACCATCTGCTCCTGGACTTTTTTTTTTTGGGACACTTTTGATTCTTTTTCTGTTTTCTTGATTATAATTGGTTTGTTCAGTTTTTCTACTTCTTCCTGACTTAGTCTAAGATGGTGGTGTATTTCTATGAATTTGTTCATTTCTTCTAGGTTATTCAACTTAGTAGCATACAAATGTTCATAATAATCTCACGATTCTCTGAATTTCTGAAATGTTTGTTGTAACTTCTCTTTTGTTTCTGAATCTATTAGAGTTTTCTCCCTTTTTTTCTAGAGGTTTTTTTAATTTTTCCAGAGAATCCGCTTTTGGTTTCATTAGTCTTTTGTACTATCTTTTTTATTTTAACTTACTTCTGCTGTTATGCTTATTATTTCCTTCTCCTACTAGCTTTTGGTTTTGTTTGTTCCTCATTTTCTAGCTCCTTAAGGTAAGAGCTAAGATTTTATGTGAACTCTTTCTTGTTTCTTAATGTGGGCCTATATTGCTACAGAAGAAGTAATATTCCTAAGACATCAATATTTCACAATTGATCAATTGTGATATCAATATTTCACAAATTGATCAATATTTCACAAATTGCACATTCAGTGCAATTCCTATCAAAAGCCCAGCTGGCATTTTTATAAAAATAGACAAACAGATCTTTAAATTTATAGAAAAATGGAAGGGGGCCCAGATTAACCAAAACTATTTGAAAAGGAAGAATAAATTTGAAGGACTAATACCTCCTGATTTCAAATTGATTTTAAAGTTTTCAGAATCAATACAGTGTGATACTATCTTAAAGATAGACATATTGACACTCCAGAAGTCAACCCTTAGGTACATGGTCGATTGGTTTTTAAGAAGAGTGCACGGCAATTCGCTGGGGGAAGGTATAGCTTGTTTCAACAAACGATGCTGGAAAAACTGGATATTTGTGTATGAAAGAGTGACGTTTAATACCTATTTCACGCCATACCAAAAAAAATAACTCAAAATATATCAAGTGGCTCAATTGATGATCTAGTTTAAAAATGGGCAAGGATATGAAAGGGTTTTTCAAGTAAGATATGATATACAAATGGAAAACCAGCACATGAAGAAATACCCCCAATCATATGGGAAATTCAAACCAAACCACAGTGAGAATCCATTTCATACCAGCTATGATCACAAGGAGAGATGGTACATATTGTTGAGTATACAGAGAAGTTGGGACCCTCATAGGTTGGTAGTGACAAATGTAAAATGACGTGGCCATTTTGGAGAACAGTTTATCAGTTCATCAAAAAGTGAAGTCACTGTTTAGGTACATACCTAAGAGAAACAAAAACATGTGTCCATGTAAAAACTTGTATACAAATACTATTTGTATACTTGTATACAAATAGCATCATTCATAGTAACCAAAAAGTGGAAACAATAATAATTTGTGTCTGATGCCTGGATAAGTAAGTAGAACGTTGCATATTCTTACAATGGAATATTATGGACAGTAAAAAGAAATAATGTACTGATGACATAAGTTTCAACATGGAGAAAACTCTAAACATTATGCCTAAGTAAAAGAAATCAATCACAAAAGACCACTTACTGTTATTCTGTTTTTATGAAACACCCAGGGTAGACAAATTTATAGAGACAGAAAATAGATTAGTGGTTGCTTGGGACTGAGTGAAGGGGGTAAAGCAGAGGGGAATGTGGATAGACTGCTAATAAGTATGGATTTCTTATTGGAGTGATAAAAATGTTCTAAACTTTGTGGTAATGTACTATTGTGATTATATTACAAGTAATTGATTTGTACATTTTAAGTGGGTGAAATTTGTGATGGGTGAATTATAGCTCAACAAAATTGTGAACTACTAGGGATGCTGTCTGTGGTAATGTTGGTTTTTACTCAGTTGAACTAAAGAGCCTGTTTCAATGACCGATTCTGTGTACATCATTCTGAAATGTGTGGCCTGAAGCAGCCAAGACTAATAACCTAATAGCACCTCCTTAACTTTAAAGCTATTATACAATTAGCATCTTTGAGTAATGCCCACATTTTCTGATTCCAGACCTCAGAAACCTTTTCATTTCTACCACCCTATTTCCTAAGTATTGCATTAAGAGGGGAAGTTTCATAAAATAAATAATTAAAATGCTCTTTTTAAAAAAAGCTAAGATATAATTAGCATTTTTAAATGTTGGAGTTTTTCTTTATTAGTTTGGTAATTGGGTCCTAAGAAAGAAGAAAACCAGCCTGACACCTGTGCTTATTAAATACCACATATGCATCTGGTTTAACCCTTCCATACCCTTATGAGGTAGTATTGTTCTCTCTATTTTATAGATGACAAAACTGAGTCGGGTAACTTAGATAAACTCATCGAGGTTTTGAGTGATGAAGCCAGAATTGGAATGCAGGCTTCTAAATTCCAAGTCCCAGTACAGTCTGGGTTGATTCATGGGGTACTACCTTCAGCCTTCTCTGGTCCTGTTTCTTGCATCTGGTTGCAGAAATATTGTAAAATTCCGGTATGAAGCACTTTTCGAAATAACAGATCTTCAGTTCAAATCTCTCAGCTTTGATTTTTAGATGGTATACGCATAGCAGTTTTAGCCTATCTTTTCTTGCCTTGGTTCTGAAAAGCCAACAATCTGATTTTTTTCTTCTTTATTTGCAGCAATGGTGAGCTAGACCCTTGGTCAGGTGGTGGAGTGACTGAGGACATCACGGACACCTTGATTGCAATCACCATCCCAGAGGGCGCCCATCATCTGGATCTCCGAGCCAACAATGCCTTAGATCCCACGGCCGTGCTATTAGCCCGCTCCTTGGAAGTTAGATATATGCAGCAATGGATCCGAGATTTCTATGCTAGTCCAAGAAAGAAGCACTGATCAATTTTCATCAGTGTCAGTTTTTTTCTTTTATGTTTATTCTCCCCATATTCCCATTCACTGTAGTTCCTTTACGTAGTTAATTTCCCTTGTTTATCATTAGGTTTGGTGGGGCAAAGCTTAAGGTCAAAAACAGGGTGGTGACAGCAGCTATCCCACACCCCAGGTCCTTGCATCTTTGCACCACCTCTAGGAAAAATCTTTTTATGGCAGCTTTTCCACACCATCAAGGGCTCTCTTAACTGGAACAGAGTTCCCAGCTGCTTTTCACAGAGGGAGAGTCACTTTTTTTTTGTTTCTCTGCAAGCAGGGATTTGGTTTTAAGGTTGACGTTTCTTTGGCCCATTTGTCACTCAAATGATGTCATTCCAGCTGTGGGAAGAATGTGGTGCCAATCCAGGAAATGGGAACCTTTTCTTTTATACTTGATTTAATGGCTTTCAACTATGCTGTGAATAAAGAGTGAGGCTGGACTTTATACCTGTATGTTGCGCCTCAAACTCACTCCAGCTGTTGCGAATGCTGTGTGCACTAGGCTTGGCTGTTTTCGGAAAGTCATTTAATATTCTCTTTTCTACTTGGCAGCTTTTCTTAGTTCTGGGATATTTGCCACTGTAGCACTGCCAGTAAGAAATCTGGCCTTTTTATGCACCATTTCTTTTGATTTCTAAGGTCAGTTCTGTGGTAATTTGGTTAAATTCTGCCAGTTTAGGAAAATGACTGTTTTGCTTTTAACAAAAGTTTTGATCAAACTTTTGTGTGCTGTGGTCAGTGATGATATTTTAGTAAGAAGCCTTTAAAATGGATGAATCAGCCATTCAGAAAATAGAATGTAGTTATATGCAGCATTTTATTCTGTAAGCTTTATTTTCTGGTGTTTGTTGCTGCTGTCATTAAAGCCAGAAATTGTCAGGACATTAAGAGGCAGGTGCACGAGAACTTTTCTGTATGACTTCCAAAAGACAAGCTGACTAATTCATGCAGGCAGCATATTTGACATTAATAAATGGCTGAGTCGTTCCTATTTCTAAGGGGTTGGCTTCTTTCAAGCAGTTCTTACACTGAGACCTTTCTTCAGAAGAGCTTTTCTAGGATAACAAATAGGGTTCGATCAAAACCTTTCAGGGGCACAGAGAGAGACTAACACTTTCTGCTCTGTTGAAAGATTTCTTCCCCCTTGTTACTTTTTTTTCAACTTTTTTTTTTTCTTTCCCCTGCCTTGGAAACATTTTCTCCTTTTTAAAATACCTTGAGCTCTATTATTTCTATAGCACTTATTTTTTTAAAAAGTGCAAATACAGAGTTTATTCTTGGGTGGGTAACTGAAATGTTTACCTCACTTTCCCTGGCATCTGGGGGATAAAGAAAAATCTTTGTTTAGTTTCAGAAACTTTCAGTTGTCATTGTAATGAGTTGGCCATCAGAGCATATTTCAGAATCAGAGAAAAGTCTGATAGGGTAGGAAGTTAAGAGTCAAAACAATACTAGTGTTTCTTCGTCAACAAAGATGTTACACAATGCAGGGTTTATGGCTTTAATAGAGTATATTTTTTCTTCAAGGTACTATTGATTTAAGGATATTTTCCTTGAAACCTTTTTACCTGTTTAAAAATCTTCAAAGTGCTTTGCCATATCAGTTGGTATTGATTGTTTGGATGAGTTGCATTTTTGTGAAGGAAAAAAATTACTCAAAAAAGTGAATATAGGGCCTCCCCTGGTGGCGCAACGGTTGAGCGCTGGGCTGCGAGGCTGCCCGCAGCCCCTGTAGTGCCGGTTCATTCCCCGGCCACCGGCGAGGGTCTCACAAAAAAAAAAAAAAAAAAGAATATATTTTTCTGCAGGTATAATTTTGTCCTATGTGCACGATTTTCTTCTTACCAGTCAGGAAAGATAACAACCTAGTTAGCGTAATTAGAATATGTTAAAATTTAATTTTATATTTAAAAAGAATTGGAATGGTAGATAAGATTTATTATTTAAAGCATCTCTCTACTTAATTGGTTATGCTTTTCAAAGACGGGAAGAGAGATGTAGAGATTCATGGTGTTAAAATTTTATTTTCTGGTTTTGTTACATTAATTATGTTAGTCAGTGGGTAGAACTAATGAAACTTAGGGATCTTTCTTAAAGACCCTTTAGTGTTGAGAGATTATCTAGGGGAGCCAGTGTCTAGTCTAGCACATTAGAAGGTGAAGGCACCTTGCACATCGAGTCCAACACTGTCATCTGTAGCTGATGGGTTTGTAACCCAGAGAGAAGGGACTTGTTTAAGGACTCAGCTCATTTTTGGCAAAATCCAAGCCTTGGATCCAGGTTGGTTGGTTGTTGTTTTTCATTTTATTGGTGTGGCTTAATCTTTGCATTCAAGCAACAAAATCTCACCAAACCCACTTAAATGAAAGTGGAAATTTATTAAAACTACCTAGGAATAGCTCCAGGACTTGAGTAACTGGGAATCATGAAGAAATGTAACTGGCGTCTAGAAAGCATTGAAAGTCAAAAGTTTTCCTCTTTATTTCTTTGACTTTCAACAGAGGTCACCAGTTGTCAGCTTATGGATAGGATTTTTCCTCTGATGTTTATGGTTTGACCAAGAGTCTAAAGTGTCTGCATGTGTCAGAATTACCTGAAGAGTTTGTTAAAACACTGATTGCTGAGTCCTGTCCAGCTTTGTGATATAACCGTGGGTTGGATCTTGGAGTTGTATTTCTAACCAGTTTTCCAGGTGATGCTGGGGAATCACACTTCGAGAACCACTGGTTGGAAGAATTTTGCATTTGAATTTCTTCAGACATGACATGCCCCTTCAATTCACCTCACTCCTGTTGTCCTACCCCATCCCGAGTGTGGGAGCCCTGCCTAAGCTTCTCTTCCTGTGACTGCTTCATTCCCTCTGGAGACCAGCTTCCTCTTTTCTGCTGGCACAAGGCCTGATGACTTCCCAGAATGGTGTTCTCAGTCCCCAGAGGCTGATCATCTGACAAGCCCACAACTTTCAGGGGGTTGGGGAGAACAAAGTCATAGAAGAATGACTGTAGAAATACACTATTTAGGATGGAGGGGCAGCAACTCAGGCGACTCAGTGCATGTAGGAGGTCCTTGAGTAGCATTCAACACTCTGTCACTATAACATCAATGACAATCCTGACTGATGACCTACTCTCAAGTCTTTGCTCTTAAAGTTAGTTTCCAATAACCTGCTGCTACTGTTAAGTAAGGCTTTCCTGTGTCTCTCTCAGTTTTTCCTCACAGTGTTTCTTGGGACATTGGTGTACAACAAAATGTCAGTAACATGGAGTAGATCCATAAGCAAGTTTGGAAAATGGTGGGTTAAATAGTTTTTATTTTGTGTATCTGTAAATATGCATTGTGACTCTCTGTAGTGGTAATAATCGTGAGTGCTGCTGTTCCTACCCTTACAGCGTAAGTAAAGCATGCTGCAAGGCATGAGGGGTGTGGAACCTGGAGCATACAATGGTGAAAAAGTAAACACAGTAGCTGTTTTAATGTTTACATTCTACTGTGAGAAAGACATGAAATGTCATAATATAATGAATTGGTACAATTTTAAGAGTATAAAGAGTGAGCTGTTTTAGGGCATTTAATAGAGAATATGAACTGGTCTGTGGGAATCAGAGGAATTTTTTTTTGAGATGTGCCATTTTACCTGTGATTTAAAGATCACTAGGAGGAAGAGAAGTGATAAAAACTATGTGTGAAAAACCAAGTGTCCTATGTTCAAGGAACTAAAAGAAGGCCAATGTAATGGCACAGCAGACAACCACGTCAATGAATCTGGAGATGCGGCCGGGGGAAAGCTCATTCAAACAGACTGTGGTGAGGAATGAGAAACCACTGACGGTCCTGAAACAGGGAAGTGACAGAGATAGATTTTCATTTGAAAAGATCACTGTGGGTGTAGAGCAGAGTATATGCCGTAAGGGCAAGCATGTGACTTAAGAGGCCACTGTTGCTGTTGTACAACTGTAAGAGAGTAGCTGCGACTGCGTTGGTAAAGGCATGTCAGGGGGACTGGGTGGTAGGTTCTATGTGAGATATGAGTGGGGCAGGTGTCAAGGATGATTTCTGGCTTGTGCACTTGGATAGATGGTGCCATGCACTGGGAAAGAGCAGCAGAAGGTAGCCAGGTTTGACAGGAAGATTCAAATTCGGTTCTCTCTTGCTGAGTGTTACGCATTTTTTTTTTTTTTTTAATAACCAAGTGGAACTAGCTGTGAAGTAGGACAGTTAGATGTAAAGATCTGGAAGAGTGTCTGGACTGGAGGGAAGTAAGCTCAAGGAACTAGAGTCCAAGAAATATACTTCAGAAGCTGCTGCTGCACTGTATCTGCCATGGCACATTCTTACATAATCTGCAAACCAACCCTCCTACTTTAGGTGCTTTTGACCCCACGGACCCAGTCTACCACTTAAACACTGGTACAGCCTTTGCTTAAATTGGAGTCTATGTATTTGCAATCATTTCCCATTCTTACTGCTGGCCTGTACCTTCCTAACACCCTGCACTTCAGCCGTACTAGACTTTCCATCATTCCAAAATACCGCTCCTCTGTCTAAAAATTTTCCCAGCACCGCCTTCCAGTGTTTTTCCCAGCAAACTTCTGTGCATCTTTAAAAGTCCAGATCAACTTGATTCCCTCCCCCTGTGACGTCTTGCCCATCTTCCCTAAAGGAAGGGTTTTAGCATCTGTGCTTTCACAGAGCAAGTTCCACACCTAGCATGTCAGCTAGAACGTCAGCTTCCCCAATGTAGGGGTTGTCTTACTAATTCATCTCTGCATCTCAAATACCTGAAATAGTGTCTGATCAACTCTAATTTGGTACACATTTCTCAAACTGAAATATTTTGCTAATACTGATGCCTTTTTAGGAAGACCAAGCTCTGAGAGCAAGGACTCTGTGTATTTCTTCTAGTCTCAGTCAGCCCTCACTAAATGTACATGAATAGATACGTTTCAGTGTGGCAAGGCCGAACTTTCTATCCCTCTCTTTCTCTAGCCAACCACCTTCTATAGCTCTGATGTGCTCTTGCGACATCTTGCCATTGAATTCCCTGGATTTTGGAAAGGGGATCTCCTAGGACTCAATATCTCTAGAACTTGGCCTTCTCTATTTACTCTCACTTTAACTGCATGTGTCCCCAGCACCCTCTCCAATTCCATCAGCCTGCCACTTTGTCAAGGGACTGAATTTAACTTCTTTGACAGGAAGTGAAACAAAATCTCAAAAGAAACACTTGAAACAGCCGTTCAAGTGGACAGTTTTCTTTGGAACCACTTCTTAACACAAGACATCAAGAAAGGGGCCGGTTCCAATAGATTTTGCTGTGTAATTATGGAGATGGGAAGATGAAAACTGAGTAGCAGAGCTGGAAAGCAATCTTCGGGTCATTCATTTCTACATATGTGTTTAACACCTGCTAAAATCTGAACTGGAGTGTGAAAATTACTTGCCGAAGAGCATACAGCTAACATGTTTATTATTTATTTTTGTCATGCCTGACTCTGAAAGGATTTCAGGTCATCTAAAGGTATACATTAAACAGCATAAGTGAGACAGAAAAGATTTTATTTTATTTTGTTTTGTTTTTAAAGATTTATTTATTTATTTATACAAGTACTGGGTACAGTCAGAAGCACAGGAGGGTGAGAGGATTCACCAGAACCAGAGCGGGGAACAGAACAGGCAGACTGACGAATACACTGCTGAGGGTAGCAATGGGCGCGGCAGGAGAGGTCTGTCGCACCAAGTGGGACCCTCGCCAGCGGCCGGGGATCGAACCGGCACTTCAGAGGCTGTGGGCAGCTTTGCAGCCCAGCGCTCAACCGCTGCGTCACCAGGGGAGGCCCCAGAAAAGATTTTAAAAGAGATGGAGACATAAAATAGATCTAGAAATGCAAATCATAACAGCATTCATGAAATAGTTTCCATAGAATTTTGGTAAGGCCGAATAATTGTGGGTGTCACATAAAAAATGGTAATAAGATCAAAGCTTTGAAACTGATTGAAATACATATAAACAGGTGGCTTGTACTATAGAAAGTCCCAAACCTTTGATATGCCATGTATATCGTAGCTCAAGAATGGGACAAATTTATTTGATCTGGAATCCTTTGTTCATGCAACATCTGAGGAGCTGGTGCTCTGCCACAGGTCCATTAGGAAATGCTGTCAGGGAATTCGAGGTATTTTTCTCAAGAAAAGTTGTAAGCTTTCTAGCAGCCATCCGCAAAGAGGAAAACAGTTAAAGAAGTCATAGTGTGCATAAGATAAAGCAGACAAACTAACCTGGAGCAATCCAGGAAGAACCTGGAAGAGTCTCAGAAACGGGAAAAGTGTAATGTCATGAATGAGATCTTCACCTTCTCACTATATATTGCTAAATATATACATATATTGCTAATTATGTATTCATCTTTATAATGATCCTTCGGTCAACCCTTCAATCAGATCCTTCCTCTTTAGAGGAAAGTCAAAATGCCAAAGTATAATGAACTAATGAAATATAATAGCGGTGTTTATTTCTTTGCTAGTCTGACTTTATCTATAAATAGATTGTACAGTGTCTGGAGAGACATCCTTGGTCAAAATCTTGCCAGACAAATGTTCCTTGGCCAGATTAAATGCTTGAATAGAGAGTTGAACTGGAGGAGGAGTAATACTCTAGAACTTAAATGAGGTGGTTTGGAGGGAAAAAAAAACAAGCT